ACCTTGGGACACTCCGGCTGGGCCGGCCCGCTCCCAGGGCTGCCAGGGCTGGCTTTGCTCCGCAGGCCCCACAGAAAGTGGCGCACGTACAGCAGGTGCTGGTAGATGCTGTCGTCCAGGCTGCTGGCTTCCAGATCCACCTGGAAGCCCTCGCTTGGCAGGACGATGGGTGGGGGGTTCTCGTAGGACTCCAGGACATCCTCTGCAGGGGCGGGGTGCCATCACTTGGCACGGGAGAAGATGCCCTCCCCTCGCCAGGCCTGCCCGGCCACCCCTGTCCTGAACCCGGGACACGCAGCCCGAGCTCCGGAGGGTGGGATCCCCACCGGGCGACTGGCCCCAACCTCTCATCCCCTCTGAAGCCCGGCTGACTACCTGGAAGGGAGCCCACGTGTCCCAGGACTGAGAACAAGGCTCTGGCAGTCTGGCCCTCTGGCCACATCACCCAACTCATAGCCCGCTGAGTGCTCCGCGCCTGGGCCTGTCTCTGCCACGCGGGCATCGGACGGGACCTAGGTGCGGCTCGCTCGGCCCCAAGCTGGCCACAAGTGCCTCCCGGAGCTCCCAGAGCCGTGCTGCCCACGTCCCTGCAGGTGGCGCCAGGATGCCAGTGGCCCTCGTGGAGGCGGGCCTCGGGCCACTAGAGCATGGGCACCCTCGCGACACAGAAGAGCCATGTGGACAGTGACCCCAGCTCCCAGCTCAGAGCGTCCACACGGCAGGCCTCGGAAACAAATCAGCATGTGGGGGAGGGGCCCAAGAGGCGTCCGGTGGAACCAGGAGTCCTGCTCAGAGCCGTTCCCGTGTCCACACCCGCTGTAGGGTGACTGGGCGCAGGGGGATGGCGTCAGTAGCCCTGCTGAAATCTGCATTTCCCATATCCTTTGCTTGGTGTTTCTATTTAGGAGTTTTGATAGACAGAATGCTAATGAGGGAAGATGTGAATAATTTACAAATAAAAATGCGCACCGATGTATGCACACATCCATACACACTTGTACAGACCCCTGGATGGGGGTGGGCTTGTGTGCGTGTGCACGTGTGTGCGTGTGTGGGTGCCACGCATGGCAGCGTGCTCAGGGGCGTTTTCCCTGGCAGGCGGGTCTCTGACCTGAGCCTGGAATTTGGCACCTGGGCAGGGACTCTTGGCCCCGACTCCCAGCGAGGGGGTCCCCAAGTGGGGACAGGGTGGGGCGTCAGGCAGGGGCTCCCCGACACCACACAGCTGGGAGGTGGGGTAGGCTGCCCTGGTGTTTCCTGCAGCCTGGGGTGGACAGCCCACCGGGTCATCGGTCCCCCTCCTCCTGCCCCCGAGCTTACCTGACTTGAAGGCCTCGGGGCTGTCCTGGGCCCCCGGCTCCCAGGCACTCGTGGGGCCCATGGCCGAGGCCAGTTGGTACTGAGTCAGCAGCCGGTGCAGCTGTGCCGGGCTCAGGGCGGGGAACGCGGCCCGCAGGGCTGCCCAGCTCATCTGGGGAACGAGAAGGCGCTGGTGGTCCCAGGTGTCCGGGAGCCCGCCGCGGGCCCTCGGCACAGCCCACTCCATGGTGCCCTGCGGCAGCTGGCAGAGGAGCGGGCTCTGGGCCCCCCACACACGCCCCCGCTGGCCTCACTCCCCCAGGGACCCGCACGTCGAGGTCCGCGAGGGGACAGTGTCACAGCCAGTGGCTCACTCCAGCACCCATGGGGCGGCTGCTCTCCAGAGAGGCCAGCGGAGCCCCAAGGAGCCCTTGTCCAGCCAACACCTCCCCTCATCACAGGCACGGAGCCACCTCACACCGTGACCTCAACAGGAGAAAAACAACTGCTGGGAAACTGGAGGAGAATGCACGTCCAAGGAGTCAAGACAAGCCCGAGGGGTGAGCAAGGCCGACTCCTGAGCTCAGACGGGGGAGACTTCTCAGAAAGACCAAAGCCTGAGCCCTAGGAAAGGTGGGTCTGGCCCTCAGAACTAGGGCAGAAGCCTGGGGCCACCCAGGGCTCTGCCCAGCCTTCAGAGCCCTTTCCGGGCTCTAGCTGCTTCCCTGCCTTCTGGAGCTCAATTCTCCCACTCTGGTTTTCCCTTTTCTTGGAGCAGATCCTTGAGGAGCTTCCTGGAAAGGGCGGCTGCTGGCAGAGGCTCCTTCTCCCGGCACGGAACTACTGGACGTCGTCACATGGGGAATGTGCAGGCGCTCCTGTCTTCACTCCCTGAGCTGCTCCGGGGAAGCCGGAACCCCTCCTGCGCGCCACTCTTCAAGCCTGTCTGGTCTTTCTTCCGGGGAAGCTCACAGGCTCCGAAATCCCGGGATGCCACATGCTGGTGCAAGTCCGCTCTCACCGTGGTGTCTGCTCATCCGACACCGGCTCTGCCTTCCCTTCCTCGCCACCAGCTCCTCCACTGGCCTTCTCTGGACTCCTGCTGTTTGAATGTGGCCTCACTGACTGGGCCTCCAACTTTCCTATTGTTTCTTCCTCCATTTCTCTCCGGCTTTTTTTTTTTAAGAGACGGAGTCTTGCTATGTTGCCCAGGCTGGAGTGCACTGACTATTCACAGGCACGACTCCACTACTCATCAGCACAGGCGTTTTGGCCTGCTGTTTCTGACCTGGGCCCGTCCACCCCTTCTGAGGCAACCCAGTGGCCCCCACTCCTGGGAGGTCACCATATTGAAGCCAAACTCATCGCAGACACCTGATTGGCACAGCACACCACGGGCAGGACTCCTGGGCTCAAGTGACCTCCCACCTCCGCCTGTCGAGTAGCTGGGACCTCGGGCGCTCCCGCGCCACACCTGGCTTCTCTTGCTTGTTTTACTCCCACGTGTGTGCCCTGAAGGATGACCTGTGCCTCTGGGCTGCGTGGGGAGGGGCAAAGCGGAAAGCCCCCGTGTGTCCTCCTCCCTGGAACCATGTTTCCTCCCACTTCTGTGGTTTGTCCCGGGTTGGTGTCAGGGAGGGGCCGCAGCTGGAGCTGGGCTCAGCTTCATGGGAACAGAGGCCTCCCACTCTCTCCCTCTTTCCCCGTCTCTCCCTCCCTTTCCACCCCCCCACGACTGTTTCTCTCCCTCCCTCTCCGTCTCCCTCAGGGTCCCCTCACCCCCCCGTTCTGGATGGCTTCCTTGGCTTTACCTTCCAACACTGCCACAGAGTGTTTCTTCATTTCTGTTTCCCTGTTATACTTTCCAGGAATTTTTTTGTTCTCGCATTTGTAGACTCTAATGAGTATTATACAGACACTGTGTCTTCTCTTAACTTTTTGAGTCTATAAATGATTTTCTACAGCTTCTTCTCCCTGAATAGTCTGTTCAGGGGTCACCGAACCATGGCCAGAGACCTAGTTTTATAGGGCCCTCACACCTCAAAATGGTTTTTACATTTCTAAAGGGTTTGAAACAAAAAACAAAACAAAACAAAGAGGAATCTGGGACAGAGACGACCTACAAGTCTTCGTTCTGGCCCTGTCCTCCCCTCCAGCTGTCCCCCCGCCACCCCTCCTGCTGGAAGCTTGCTTGAGGACGCTGGGCTGGGCTGTCTGCTCCGAAGTTAGGGCACCGCTTCCAGGCGTCAGTGTGGGGCTGGGCCGGGCTTGGCTGCGTCTGTGGAATCCCTGCTGGTGCTCCCTGGCTTCCAGGGCCGTCACTGCTGACAGGGTCCCAACTCTGCCCACCTTCTCCCGCTTGGAACACATACAGGAACACACCCCCTGGCCCCCTTCTGCCTGAGTGAGAAGGGCGCCCTGCTGAGCGCAGGAGGCGCCTCCCTGAGAGCTGCTGCTGTTCCCTTCCACGGGCGTGCATTTTGTGTCGCCGCATGCCAGTCACGCAGGAAACCAGACAAACCCGAAATGCACAACTCAATGGACTTTCCCAAAGAAGCACACTGTGAGCCCAGCCCGGGAACAGCCACCAGAACAAGGCCCGCGCCACCTGGAGCCCAAGGAGCCCTCGCAGGGACCGTGACAGGCAGTGCCACTCGGCTCCCCACACCCAGGCGCACTGCCTGTTTTGGAGCCCCGGGCCTCCGGCCTGACGCCTTCCGCTCAGCCATGCTCCAGGCTCGTCTGTGGCTCCTTGTGACCCGCCTGCCCCGTCTCACTGCTCTGCACCATTTCACTGTCACAAGGGCACCACACGCCATAGCTGCTCCCTGCGGGCAGCTGCGAGCAGCCCCATCAACATCCCCGCACAGGCACGAGCAGACACGTCGTGTCTCCGTTGGGAGAACCGCTCAACCTCAGCTTCGGCAGATACACCCAACAGACACTCCCAAGTACTTCTGAAGTGGCAGCAGTCACTTACAACACACCAGTAACATGCGAAAGCACATGCAAGAGCACACCAGTAACATGCGGTGGCACCTCATCGAGGTCTGGGGTTGGAGGCACACACGCATGTGCACATGCGCCCAGGCTGGCCCCAAACTCTGGGCCTCAAGCAGTCCTCCTGCCTCAGTCTCCCAAAGTGTCGGGATTACAGGCGTGAGTCGCCACACCCAGCCTGGCTTTTTTCTTTTAACCATTCTGTGTTTGGCGATTAAAACATTTTGATTCCGAACTTCATTTCTCTGATGAGCTGTGAAATTGCTCATCTTTTCCTTTCTGATAATTCCTTTTCTGGTTTTGGTATCAAGGCAGTACTGGTGTTTTATAATGAGATGGGATTTCCTCTTTTCCTAGTTTCTGGAAGTGTTGGTAATAATGGTACTATTTCTTCTTTAACACTTAAAATAATTCATCAGTGAAACCATATGGATCTTGAACCTTCTTTGTGTAAAGGTTTTAAGATAATGGATTCAATTTCTTTAATGCATATGGGACTATTTTTACTTTCCTCTCGTGTTAAGTTTTAGTAAATATTATTTTTCTTATTTGTCCATTTCATCTACGTTGTCAAATGTATCAGTATAAAGTTGGCCATAATCTCCTCCTCCTACTGATTTTTAGTGTGGAATCTGAGTGCTGTCCCCTTTTTCATTTCTATACTAGCGATTTGTGCTTCTTTTATTACATTTTTCAAAGAACCAACTGCCGGCTCTATCACTTTCCTCTACGACATGTTGATTTACTGTTTCACTGACTTTTTTTGCCCCCCCCATCATTTCCTTCTGCTTTCTTTAGAGTTGGTTTGCTGTTTTTTTCTTGCTTCATGATCACTTGTCCTTGGCCTTCCTTTTTTCCTGATGTGTGCATCTAAGGCTATAACTTGTCCTCCTAGTGCTGCTTTAACTGCAGCCACAGGTTTTGATATTTTATGTCCCCACTGCTGCTAATCAACTTAATGCAGCTGAGTGAGCCGAGCTGGGGTGGGGCAGGCCTTTGGTGAGCCTCAGTTGCTTGATCCCTACCCCAAGGTTTCATCTGAGGACCTGGTGTTTACTCCCTAAGGGGTCCTGAACTCTCATGTTTGTCTCCTCTGCATTGTGTGACTACCACAAACTCCAGCTCTCTTCAAAGCTTTTTTCTTCGTTTTACAGACTTTCCCCATCCCACCTTCTGCAGCTTCTGAACTTTGGCAACTGTCTTCAGGGGAGCCAGCCATGCGTTTCGGGCCCCTGAGGTCTGTGAGTTCGTCTCTAGCCTGCGAGATGGCCAGTGCTGTTCGGGTTTCTGTTTCCCCCGCAATGGCCCCTGCCTGGACAAAGCCTGGATTCTCCACCTCACAAGTAGCCTGCTCCCAGGACAGCAAATGCCCCCATGGGAGAAGCAACGGGCAGCACTCCAGTTCAGCTTTTGCGGCCTCCCTCTGCAGAGCCACGGCTCCTTCGGTGGCTCGCTGGTGCCTTGAAACAGATGACTTCTGTGCTTTTGGTTGTGCAGGTTGTCCTCAGCAGAACTACAGGCTCATGCCCAGTTACTGCATCCAGGTGTCGGTGTCCTTCAAAATGCTGATCGAGCTGCTCTGGTTGAGTCCTATTCCTGAGCCTTCTGGCGGCCTCCGTAAGCTGGGTGGCCTCAGGGGTCAGCTTTCTCGGGTCCTCTCCATCTTCAGAGCCAAGTCCTTCCTTCTCCTCTGTCCATCTCTCTGACCACTCTCTGGACTCATCTGATTAGAGAGGGCCACCAGGATTCTCGGGGACACCTCCCCCTCTCAAGGTCCTTTGCCAGAGTCCTCTTTGCCATGTGGGTGACATGGTCACTGGCCCCAGGACTGGGCACAGACATCTTTGGGGCCATTATCCTACTGCCAGTGGGGACAGCTGTGGATCGGAAGCAACTCTGCAACTGGGATGTTGGAGGGCTCCGGGCCTGGGAGCCAGATCCCAGCCCCAGCCCGGCTTCTGAGCCAGTGACCCAGGATCACACCCTAGCCCCAACCCCAGCACAGAGCTCACGGCCCATGCGGCCTGCACCCTCCTACCTGGATGAGCTGGGCCCTGGGCGTGGCCAGCAGGTTGAGGGTGCAGGAGAGCTTCTGAAAGAAGTGCTCTCCGGCGGCCCCAAAGCCGGCGCTCCTCGTCCACTCCAGGAGCTGCTGCAGGCGGGTGCAGGCCTGGACGCCTCTGGGCCAATGGAAGCAACTCAGGGAGGGGCCTGGGGGCGGAGGAAGGGAGGAAGGTGATGCCTGGGCCTTCCCACGCTCAAGCAGGCGGCCACCCTGCCCTGGGGGATGCAGGTACCAGCTGGTTCCCAGAGTCTGGTTCGCAGCCTTCTCTGCTCCAGGCTACTGAGGACATCACAGCTCCAGGGCAGACACGAGATCTTCCCTCAGTTTCTAAGACCACTGGCCTGCTTCTCAGTCCCTCTCCGGCGCAAGGGTCAGAGGTGAAGGTGGCTGGGCAGGGTGGACTCCAAAGGCAGCCCATGGCCAGGACCCCCCGCCCCTGGCCCCAGTGCCACCCCGCCTGTGCTGGCAACTTGCATATATTGCAGGCGCATCCCTGCTCATATCTCTCTGTGCTCCCAGCAGTGTCTGTGGCTGGAAGTGCCCATCACCCTACGCCCCTGTGGGTGATGGAGGAATGTCAGCTCAGCTCAGCAAGGCCAAAGGTCAGAGTCTTTGTGGCTGTGCAGATTTGGGGTCCAGCCTGGCTCTGACGTGTCCACCAACAGTTCTGAGACAATCCCTTAACTCTCTTGGGCCTGTCCCCTCCTGTCATGGAAAAGAGGCCGCGTGCAGACCTCCTGGCCTTGGCTTCTCCGAAACCCCGGTGGGACCACAGGGCCGAGGTGACACACTCCAGGCGACAGGTCCTATCCCCAGGCCTGCCTCCCGCCCCTCACTCCCCAACGGACAACAGACTCTCAGGGAGCAGGATCCCAGCCTCACCAGAGTTGTCCCCCGCCCGGAGTCCGTGGGGGCCAGCGGCCACAGCCTCCAGCGAGCACTGGACATTTCTCGCAGGAATGTGAGCCCCCCACCTTTGCCCCAGCCCCACAAGCATGCGGCCCTCACCCCTGTCGAGGAGCTGGTTGAAGAGCAGAGTGCCAGAGAAGAAGAAGAGGTAGGCGAGCATCTGCGAGGCCACCTCGGGGTGCACCTGCAGCTGCCGCAGGAGGTCCAGGGCCGCCTGGTACACGGACACGACGCGGCGCAGCTCCTCGGGCAGCTCGAGGGTCGAGCACCAGCTCTCCCGGCGCTCCGTCTGGAACGGGGGGCATTCCAGGAGGGCCGGGAGGCAGACATACAGGGACTGGGGGAGAGAGTGCCCACCGCCATTGCCGGGGTGCTGGTGGCCGGGGGGCCCACCCTGACTGCGGCTGCCCTCTCCGGCCCGTCGCGGCGCCCCACTGGACAGGCTGAGGCTTTTCCTGCGTCCGGCAGTGGGTGGGGCTCTCGCGGAGCTGCCTCCCGGGGCTGCCAGGAACAGAGATGGGGTGTGGGGACTCAGCCCGGGAACCCGCTGCTGTCAAAGGCAGGGATGGCCTTGGGAGGTGCAGAGGAGGCGCTTGGTGGGAGAGGCTCCAGCAAAGGGATGGAGACCCCTCATGGGTGCCGAGGGCAGAGCCATCCCTTGCCCGGAGAGGCAGCACCCCAAGTTAGCCCAGGCCCCCAGAGACTCGCAGCAGAAGGCCTCTGGGAAAGCTAGTTACACCCGTGCCCGCTTTCTCCCACAAGATGCAGGCACCACCAGGAGGGCGGCAGCCGGTGCCCGCACACCTTGGAGACGTAGTAGACGCACTGCTGGAAGGCGTACAGCACCACCTCCTCCAGCACCGCCATGGCTTCCTCGCTGGCCGTCAGCGTGCAGGAGAACAGAGACTCCTTCGAGCCTGCGGGGACACAGCAACACCGACAGTCACCCCGCCCAGTCGTGGCCAAGTTCCCTCCCAAGTGCACCGCCCAAGGCACCCATGTGAGGCAGGAGATGTGATCAACTGGCTGCATGACCCTGGGCCACGTTGGGGGCTCACTCTGGTCCCAGCCGCGCCCAAGCCTGCCTGCCGCCCTCGGGTGGGACCAGGAATGCTGGGGAGGAGGCTGGGGGGTCCAGACGCCAGACATTCCTATTCCCAACCCACAACCTACCCACTCCCATGGTCTGGTGACATTTTCCTCAGAACCAAGCACCCAAAATAACAGCTCCTAACCCCTGCCCCACAGGTCACTTCTCACTCGGGACACAGGTCAAAGGACTTTGGCAGCAGCCCATGAGGGGGCTGCCACTCCATGGATTCCTCACATCTTCGAAGAAAAAGAACCAAATCACCTCGTCCCCTCCGCCCGCACCTGGAGAGGCTGCTGCAGACCCTGCTGTGTCCTTGGCCACCTGAGAGAGCCCAGCTCTGGGCAGGGCGCTCGGGCCTCCCCGGGTTGTGGGGACAGGGTGGGAAAGGGGATGAATGGGCGTGAGTTGGTGCTGCTGGAGCTGAGACTGGGGGCTGCCCAGGAGAGAACAGGCGTCAGTGGACACCGGGTGATTCCTCTGTGAAGGGCAGAGGCCCCAGGGGATACCCAGAGGGACTTCCAGAAAGTGAGGGGAACCTGGTGGTCTCAGTGACTGGGGGTCCTGCGGCACTCGGGAGGAGGAGCCAGGACACTGGACGTCCAGCTTGTGGGTCCCTTCGTTCCTCAAATCCTCATTCGATCGTTACCACAGAAGTGGGTGCCCAACCCTGGAATGTGCTTCCAGCGCTGCTGGCCTGCGGTTGCCACCACCCTCTTAGTGCCCCTCCTACCGGGGGCACAGCCAGGCTGCATGTCTGGGTGCCTGTCAGGGCTGCAAAGGAGGCACTGGACCTGCGACTCTACAACTTCCCCAAGCTGGACTTCCCAGGAGCTCAGGACAGGCCACTCCCACTGCCTGGCCCACCATGGCCTGGACATGCTCCCGCCACTTCCACAGGCTGCTCGTGGTGCTTCCCCTTCAGGGGCCCAGGGCTGCCCAGCCCTCACCCGCCAAGCCCCCTCTGCAGCTCACCCCCCAAGAACCAGTGAGGCTTCCCCCAGTGTCTGGCCAGGGGGCTCATCTGGGACCCGGGTGGGTCCACCTGCTCATGGCTCCCTGCAGCCTCCCTGGCAACTGAAGGGGCCCAGGACCTGGGACAGCAAGAGACGCTTAGGCCTTTGCCAGCTGCAACACTGCTTTCTTCTAGAAGTCTCCAGGCCTACAGAGAAATGCAAGGCTGGCTCCATAGCCCACCAGAACAACCAACGGCCAGGCGTCTTCACAGCATGAAGGAGGCAAGGGGAAGGGGCCAGGAAGGTGAGCTCCACACACTTGACCTGTCTGCCACAGGTGCCCTGACCACCGGCTGCCTCGGGCTGCTGGGTCTGTCTAGAACCAGGTCCACATGGCTCCCTGGGGCCAGGGCGGAGCGCCAGAGGGAAGAAGAAACTGGGGCCTGGGCCTGGCAGGAGGAGGAGGCAGGATCACGTAGCACAAACCACAGAACAGGCTCCGCACATGCCCACACAGGCCTGAGACTCCATTTCCAAAGCACCTGAGACACCTCTGCCAGCTGACCCTGCCCCATTCCGCACCCCAGGACACCTGCGGTGGCCAACCCTGCCCCTCAAGGAAAGAGTGTGGAGTCACAGGCCAGAGGAGGAGAGGGGAGAATTCCACATGCACCTGACAAACAAATGCCGACCCTCGTGAGATGGGCCCTGGGTAAACGCTTTAGGCAGAAGCACTGTTTGGGGAATGACAACAGCCACGTGACCAGCTCTAGGACGTGATGGCTCTGATTTTAGAATTTTTCCCAGACGTTTCCTGCAGAGGATCAGAAGCCTGAACGCCGGCTCTGACCTTGCCTGCACCCTCTGGCTGACGCTGTTTTTCCTGAGTCCGCTGGCGCCCGCCTCCCTCCTGACACCCAGATCCGCGGGGAGCCCCTGGGCCACGTGGTCTCCCTGGGGCGGGTGGGGCAGGGGCCCCAGGGCCGCAGGCTCATTCTCCCACAGCCTCAACTGGGCCAGACAACACCCAGGCCCCCGACCAAAAATAACTTGCTCCCCAGTACCAGAGGCAGCAGCTAAGGAAGCGGGCCTGTCAGCCTGGGGCAACTTTTCCCATGAACAGCAGCCAGTGCGGGACCGGGTGTGACCCAGCTGTCCCCGGGCCGGGCTGAGAGAAAGCCACATGGGAAAGAGCATCGCCAGGGGACACGCCCGGGATGCAGAGCCCGAAAGTCATGGGGGCGTGGAAGCCAGCTGTGTCGGTCACAGGGCTGACTCTTACTGCAGCAGCCAGAACAACAGGGACTTCCTGGCCCCCTAAGCTGCCTCGTCCCCAGGCCACACAGAGGGACCACATCGTGGGAAGACCCGGGCGCTCCCAGCCAGTGCCGGCGCCAGAAGAGTCTCTTCCACACCGGAGCCACCTGTGTCTGTGACATCGGCCCTGGGCGTCTGAGACCCTCGAGGACGCGAGAACGAGGCTGGAGTCAGGTCTGGAGGGGTGGTGCCGGGCACTGGAGTCCCGGAAGGCCAAGCACCCCAGGGCAGACCGCAGGCCAGCGGCTGGATGTGAGGGGCCTGGCTCTGGAGACTGGGCAGGTGCAGCTGCTTACATCGTGGTCCAGGTAAAAGACAGAGGAAACATCTGCCTCCAACCCGGGCCCTGGAGTCTGCGGGCTGGCCTTCAGTCTTCTGAGGGGACAGGGGACGGAGGCCACAGGTCCGGAATGCCCACTGAGCTAGGAAGGCGCAACGCTCCCCTCCAAATAGCTAAGAAAGCCCCAATTCTGAGGCCCAGGCAGCCCCACAGAAAGGTCCACTACTCCCTCACTGAAACAGGGATAAGAAAACACAATCCAAAGAAACCATGGCGGATAGGAAGGAAGGTGGACAGACCCCGGCGGGCTCTGCCTCTCTCAGGAGCAGGGAGTGCCCCTACCCTACAACCTAATGTCCAGGGCCCACACACTGGCTCACCCGGGCTTCCTGGATGGCAGTCCAGCCTGGTCTCTGCAGCCCAGCCCGCCCCCAGAGACCCAGAACCGGGCCCCTGAAGCAGACAGGAGCTTGTCCTGATGACCCTCCTGCTGAATGGTCACTGTGCCAATGCTCTGCCCCCTCCCTCTCAGCCACCAAGAGCTCCTCCTCTCAGGAAACCAGCCCCATGAGGCGTGGAGGGACACAGCGGGGCCCCAATACCCGGGATGCAGCCTGACCCGGGCTTCACGCTGGCCTTGCTTCCTCGGGCTCTTTCCAGTGGAGCCACGGCCACTGCCCAGGGACACGGCTGAGGACACAGAGACGCTGTGGTATCTGGCAGACCCGGTCTGTGGGACACTCGGCCAGGCCCCGTCCCAGCCCCCACCCCGTGTGACTGGCGGGGCTCCCTCACAGCTCCCGGATGCGGCCCCAAAGGCCCCCTCACTGAGCCTGGGCCCCCCAGAGGCAGGCCCACCACCACGACCGCTCAGGACCCCACAGCACCCATACGGCCCAGGGCCCGACAAGTGTGAGGGGAGTGGGTGCCCGAGCACGGCTGAGTGGGGCCCACCCAGGGCCACCCGTGTGAGGCTCTGGCCCCAGCGTCCCCGGGTGCTTGGTCATCACAGCGGTCTCGCTGCAGCCTGGTCCTGCCACTCCTCCCGGTTCCATCCTGGGACCTCCCAGGCCACCTCCAGGCCCCACACGGACCTCAGCAGGCACACGAGCTAAAATCGCAAGGCCTGGCCCAAATGCCACCTTCTTGAAACCCTCCCAGAACTGCCCCCATCAGAATCACCCTCTCAGTGCGTTCAGACCATTTCCTACTGTATTTCAGAAATCCTGACATTTTCCCCTATCTCTGGAACTGACATCGTCTACAATTTCACAACTATAATTGGCAACGCTCTCCCCTTCTGGGATAATGGTGCATCTTGGAGCGGGTGGCGGCTCAGGGCTGCCGCTCTCTCTACTGTCCTTGCGTTCAGTTCACAGTGGCATCAGTGTCTCCCCTACCGAGTGACCTGTGTACCCTCCGGGCCTCCCCGCAAGCAGGACAGAATGAGGCTGCAGGCAAGGTGACACCAGCACACAGAGCACGCGGAAGAAGGGGCAGGCAGAGGACCAGCGAGCATGGACGATAGGGGCCAGACTGGACCCGAGGAAGCCCCCGGCACCAAGCCATCCCTGTCCTCGCGGCCAACTCTGCCCCAGGCTGGCGAGGAGCCACCATGCTCACCCGCCTGAGGTGCCAGTGCAGGCACGGGGGCAGCGCCAGCCGTACCTGTGACGTCCAGCTGCTCCTCCATGCTCTGCATGTAGAGTGGGCATTTCTGCTGGATAAAGTACAGGAGCTCGACGGAGTTAGACATCCAGAAAAGAATGTGCTGCAGGTCTGGAACTAGGTCAGCCATGGTAAAGCTGGCCAACGAGATGGGCTCCTGGCTACCAAGATAGAAAGACTAAGAGTTATGCTTGGACCCGACACCCAGGGAGCCTGAATCTGCTGCCCTGTCCGCACAAGGACGTCCGTCTTCATGGGACACCAACGAAATCTACTACGGTCAACCTGACAGTGTCAGGGAAGTTACAGATATGGACGTGTACCTGTGTGGCAACTGCCCACAACACCCGACAGCCAGAGACCCCTACAAACCTGGCAGGAAGGATAGCCAGTTGCCACAGCTATTGATAAAAACTCTGGTGAACAAACTGTTTGCATGTCTTGTCTTTTGAAATTAGATCATAAAGGAGCTCTGAATGTTAAAAGACAGTGCCTACGAGTGTATATGTGTGTGCACGTGTGTGTGCACAGGGGGCGTACCACAGGTTTTAGAAGATACATCAGTTTCAGTGTATCATTTTAGTTAACAAAGTAATTAGCAGCAGAAATAAAGAGTAATACAACTATTTTGCACAAAGCAAGATTAATTAAATACTATGGTATTAAAGCAGGAAGTAGGAAGAGAGTGTGCAAATTTGATAAGTTAAGAGGCAGTGATCAAAGCATTCTACTTGGAAGACTTAGAGTTCATCATTAGCAATCCCTAAGATGGACACAGGTAATCAAGGATGCCCCGAGATATGTATAAGAAAAAATAGGGCCAGGGAGGGGTATCCACCACAATCTCTTCTGCAGTTTGATTCTTTATCCACAGGGTGCAGTTACTCTTGTTACTTAAAACAGAAGGAGGCCGGGTGTGGTGGCTCATTCCTGTAATCCCATCACTTTGGGAGACCAAGGTGGGAGGATCACTTGAGGCCAGGAGTTTGAGTTCAGCCTGTGCAACATAGCGAGACCTCATCACTACAAAAAAAATGAGCTGGGCATGGTAGTGCACGTCTGTGGTCCCAGCTACTCAGGAAATTGAGGCAGGAGGATTGCCTAGGCCCAGATGTTTGAGCCTACAGTGAGCTATGATCACACCACTGCACTTTAGCCTGAGTGATAGAGGGAGACCCTGTATCTAAAAACAAAAACAGTAAAAGAAAAAAAACCCAAGTAGCTCAGGTCCCTCCTGTGGTCATCCTGGCTGGTGGGAGCACTCTTCCCTCCCAGGCCTGCTACCTCCCGGCTCAGTGCCACCTTTTCAGGGGATAAGGGCAACATCAGGGTCGTCTGCTTCCCCTGATAGAAGCCTCCAGGGTCAGGGTGGCTTCCAAATTTGGAGCTCTCAAACCATTCCTCCTGCATCTCACAGGCACCAGCCCCAAGATGTGCCTCTGTGTGTTATCCACAGTGGGAACTGAAACTGCCTTTTTTGCCCTCAACTGGCCTCTTACAAGATCTCGGGGATGGACAGCGAGGCTGTGCTGAGGTCCCCAGAACATTCTTCATTTTAAAAGGCCAGCCTCGAGTCTTCTCGCAGACTCCTGGTCTCGTCCACCTCAACACGAAGCTCTTGGACGGGCTGCATGGGTCGCCTTGGGGTTCTGGCAGCTCAGATGATGCTTCACCCATAAGCTCCCATAATCATACCGGCTGGACACTTTCAGACCCTAAGTAGGTGTGTGCCCCTTGAGCAATGAGCAGACAGGATCCACTCACAAAGAAATCAAACCACCCGGCCATGACTCAGGCTGGCCTGGGGTGGGGCACACATCCCTGATGCCTTATCCTCGGCTGGCCCAAGGACCCCTTGCCACCTCAGTGTCTCAGAATAGGAAGCTATAAGGGGGAAGCCGGGCAGCTGCGACCCTGCTGGTCTCAGGGCACTGTGTAAGCCCAGCACTTGCCTCCAGGCCTGGGAGGAGCTGAGCTCAAGGAGTGATGGCCACATGCACGGTGTCAGGTATCTACATAGTGTCTGGGACCCCCGGGAAAAAGTCACTGGGACTTTGTGGGTGGCTGGTCTATGAGGACGTCAGAGAAGGGCTGAGGCTTTGACCTTCTCCCTGTCCCTTCCCTAGCTGAGCCACCGGTAGAACTGGGAAGGGACCTCAGGCCCGGTCCCTGACTCTCTCTGGTGCCTACGGTTTTGCCTGTTCTCTCTGACGTAACTTCATTTTTGTCCACAAACGATGTTGACCTCTGTCTCTATCCCACTCCTGGGGAGGGAAGAAATTGGCCAGGGACCGTCTCCCCTGTGTCTGCAGCTAAGCAGGTCTGCAGCAGGCCAAGGCCTGGCGCTTATGTCGCACAACCGGGACCTCCTTTCTGTGCATTCTGGACACTGGCTTGAATGACACACATGTTGCAGACAGGCATAAAGAGTTCTGTGTAGTTTTAAAAGGACTCACTCGACTCTCTGGAGCCTAGTTCCATTTTGTTTTCAGCATGCATTGCCCTTCTCCATCTCACCTGGAATTCAGAGGGTAGACAGGCCTCTGCCAGGCTGTGCAAATCAAATCCAAGCCTCAGCACATGTGCACGCCACCTGCCGGTCCCTTGTGGGCCCCGGGCCACACACGGGGCACCCCTCGGAGTGCAACCAGGCAATAATAGAGACCTAGCCTGTCCTACCCAGGCCAATCTGGACTGAGGAGCCGGTCTGGTGGAAAAAGACTCCATGTTGGCCCAGCCGAGGGCAAGGGGCACTCCACAAGGACAGCCACGTGGGCAGAAGTGCAGCCACATGTGAGGCCTGCCACAGCACACGATGCTCCAGCAGCAGGAACGGCTGCGCAGGCCAGTATGGGTGCGGGCGGGGTGTCTCTCGTGCAGAGAGGGGAGGGGGCGGGTCGATGGAAACACGCACGCTGGGCACAAGGAGCACAGAGACAGAGGCGTGGGATGCTGGTGAAGACCAGGACACAGCTGGCCTGTCTGTCAGGAGGGGACTGGGGAAACAAGCCATGGAGTTCGAAGCCATGGAACACAGCGCACCGCAAAAAAGTAGGTGGACCACACCTACTAACCTGGAGAGGTTGTGAGTGAGAAAGAGGACCACAAAACAATCCCTCCAGGGTACTCTCACCGGGAGGGAGGGAAGGAGAGAGGGAGGGAGAGAGGGAGGGAGGGAGGGAGGGTCAATGTTACACTGTAGCACACTGCCAGAAGGTGTCTGGGACTGAGGATTGCAGATCTCCTGTACTCCTGGGTACTAAGCCTTGCTCATATTTTCACAGTGAGAACACGCCCCTGAAAGGTGTGTGCAACAACAGCAGTGACAAGCGAATCCTGCTGGGGACAGCATGTGGGGGCACAGGAAACCCCCAAGGTCTGCGGGCAGCAGAGCAGAGAGAAGCTGGACTTAATTTTGTTGCAGCCTGGATTGCAGGGTGGAGTGGAGGGTGGACTAGAGACATCCAGAGGCCCGGGGGGTGGGGCATATGAAATGACCCAGGCATGGACTAGAGAGGGAATCCCACTGTGACTGGGTGACAGGCAGATACGAGGGAGGGAGGGAGGGAGGGAGTGAACAGTCCAAGAAGATGCACCAAGCAGCCCGGCAGAGCCACTGCGGACAGCAAGAGAGGCCAGGATAGAAGAGCAGCTCTCGCCTCCTGGGGAGGGACGCGAACAGAGGGAGCGGCAGAGGGTACAGAGGGAAGATGAGGCCGGGGAGAGCTCAGGACAGGGAAGAGGGTGCCAGCAAGGAGGGCTCAGAGACATCAGGAGGAGAACAGGCAGGCACACCGCAGGAATGTCACTGAGAGGCAAGAAGTCACTGGTGCCCAGTGGCACATCAGGACAAAACTGAGAAGAGCCACCTTTAGTGCAGCGGGTGCTTAAGCTCTCCAGGTGGGCAGCTGTCACAGACCAGATGGGGAAGGGAGGCCAGGCGGCTGCAGGGGCTCAGAAGGGACGAGGGAGACAGGAAACAGGCACAGAACCAGGGACAGGGCAGCGAGGAGAGGCGGCATGGCGGAGCAAAGGCTGGCTTTGTCGTTTTTTCTGAAACGGCACAAATCCATCCTTTCTGCAGGCAAAGGGAAGCCATTAGTGCCAAAAGTCAGCTCTAGGTGGGGCTGGAGGGGCACGTGCGGACATGGCTGCATGGCCACGTGCCAGGTGTCCCTTTTCCCCTCCGAGCCTGCACACTCTCAGCTGCCTGGGGCAATTTTATTTGGGGCAAAACGAGGTTTACGTGAGGCCATGCATGGTCTTGGCGTAAACATCCAAGAGCAGAACACTGTCTGCCTGTGGGTGCCCCATGACACCCCACACATCCACCGTCTAATCTTCCTAAGCTCTAGAATATTCTGAACCCTAAAACATATCTGGGCCTAAAGATTTGGGATTGCTGAACTAAATGTGGCCCAAGGATACCCTAGTATCTTGATCCCTTCTCATGAACTGGAATTGCAACTTCACTCGGTGACTGAACAAGTTGAAGACCCAACGCCAGTGGACTTTATCACAAACATCGGTAAGCCAGCCAATTGGCAGTGGGCCTCAGGCAATCCCAGGTGACCAGCCCATCAGACCACGCCCAGATGCAGCAGTGCCATGGAGGGGCACTCTTCTTTCTCCCTCTCCCCTCTCTCTCCTCTGCCCCATCTCTCTCTCTCTTCCCCCCCCTCCTCTCCCTCTCTCCCTCTCATGCTCTCTCTCTCCCTCCTCCCTCCTCTCCACCCTCCCCTCCCCACTCCTCTCTCCCTCCCTCCACTGGAACTCTGGAACCCTCTGAACCTGTGCTCTTTGCTCAAATAAACCCGTTGAATTTAATTTGTCAAAAGTCTTTCTTTCAGCGGGATGAAGGATTGTAAGCCTGCGTGTGGAGGTACATAGGTTATTTCTTATGTATGAAAGTCTGGGGCTTCGCTAGAGTGACACATACGGTATGTGAGATAGCTGGGCACTATTAGACAGGCAGAAAGTCTTCCTCTGACCTGACAGGACTGCAGGGGCAGCAGGATGCAGGAACAGCAGGGAATGCCAGGTGCACGGCAGGACTAGCAAGAACTAACAAGAATCTGCAGCCCTCGCCTCAAGCCCAACTCCAAGCTCTGACATGGAAACACACCAATACTGGAAACACTGATTTGCAACCACAGTTGCA